TTCCCATGCTCGTACGGGGCGATAGCCTGCCAGCCAGCCACGATCAACAAATCAACCTTCTTCAGTTGGGACCCGATCCAACCGGTGAAATACCATGGTACAGCGCCATACAGTTGCTCGGCGGCAAGGATGCGCTCTGCCCTACAGACCGAAGGTGAACGACTACGAACGTCTCTGCGGACACCGATGTTACCAAAAGTTGCAGCCTCAATAACGGCGCATCTGCGACCACTGCAGCGGCCGCCGCGTTGAATGTGTCTGCCCTCGCCCAGGTCAGAAGGTTTTCCGGGCGGGGAGACAATCGTGGCATTCCACTGGAACTGCTTCTCGGAATTTCTCCTGGATCTACCCAGGCGTGGTCTGTGTGTTTCCGATTCAGGAAATGCAAACATGATGTTGTGGGATGAAATGCGTCGAGAATGGTCTGGGGACGTTTCTCCGGTTCTTTCCACTGCCCGCCTGTAACATGGAACGCGGACAAGAGGAAGGCGCGTGAAAAACCAAGTGTCCTTCCTCTTGTGGAGTGAAACTCAGATCCCGATCAGTAGCGTCATCGCATAGCGGCATCCAAAATCTTCATTGCTTTTTTTTTGCTTTTCTCCATCTATCCCTTGCTTCCGTTGGCACCTCTAGTGAGACCCGTCACGGACAACGCCCTGATTTTAACAACGCTCTGCTTGTAACCGGTACACACAGAGACGCAGAAGGATATCTTGAATACTGCCCCTACACCACCGTGACTCATCTCGTCCAGTATCTCGACTTGTCGGAATCTCTCCATGATGGACAGACATATATGTTGGATGCGGGAAAGCTCGGATAAACAACTTGAAGGCCCGGCCTTTTAAAGGTGGAACATGGGTCAAGTCCCGCTCAATCTCATGCTTGTTTATGTTTCAGCCTCTAAGTGTCATTTTCATGTGGTGTAACCACAATTGGACGTTACTACCAGACAATACCTGTTCATAAAGGAGATTGAGTGCAAATGCCAGCTGCACTCGACGTTGGTTTAGGTATCGTGAAAGTTGCGTTGGGTCGATGATCGATTAGCATCGAGGGGTCTATTTGATGACGGACAGAACGAAACTCGCAAGAGGTATTGTGAGCCGTCTTGCGCTTGGCGTCTCCCCCCTTCCAACAAACCCCATGTCAGGCTTCAAGCCATGGCTTGAGGCGTCCCCACTGGTCGAAGCGTGTTGTAGAAACGTTGATCGTGGGATGGGGCTTGGATGGTGGAAATACAGCCAACAATCCGTCAGGTGGATGAGTAAATCACATATCCCTCAACGACCTTACTCCATTTCCGGTTGCCCTGACGATCAGCCCAAGGGCGAGAAATTTCATCAGCAAGATCATTCAGAACTCTTTTGGACAAAACGTATAAGATAGCAAGCATCACCTTCCTTGCCCGAGCAGGCCATGCCAATGTTGACGGCCACCCCAGGTATTGCCGATACGCTGGCGATGGAAACTATGCCGTCCCTCTTCAGGCAATCCTTTGAGGGGCCTGTGCCTAATCTTCATATCCCTTCTCCCATGGTCGATCAGGGAGGATGCCCCCCCCCCCAAACAGGCACCGCCGGTTCAACCGGGCATATATCAGAACGATGGATCATATATGCCGACTGCCAATGACACGACACTCCCATGGACCGACTTGCACATCGCGATACTCCGGCAAGGCCAACGTTTAGGCAAAATAGTCGAGGAGATTCGAGATGAGCTTTTCGCATTTGACGGGAAGAGAAGATCGACCAACTGCATCACCAAGCGCTGGGGAACAATGACCAAGAACTGCATCCCGAAACACGTAAGGTAAGTTGTACCTCAATTGAAGCGAATATTTTGCAGCTAAATATGCGACGATGCACGCCCTAGTTACCAACAAAGGCTAAAAGAGTAGATAAAAAACACTAAAATTGATATTGAAACGAGGAAGAAGAGAGAAAAAGAGAAATGGAAAACGCCGAGGTTGCTTTGAAAAATGTACCTCTTTGCGTGCACCTTTCCTTGCCAAAACAGCCATATGCGCTTAATAGGGACGGGAATATGCCTTGCAACTGTTAGGGGGTTGTCTCACAGTTCCTATCAGAAGCCACTATACATATAACCCACTTTCCCAGCGCCCTCTTCCCTCCAGGTTCCTCATGCAAACGGATTTTCTTTTTGTTTCTGGATGCGATACTTGGACGTACCTCAGCGTCATTACTCCTCACCGAAAGCCTTCTTTGCCCGCTCTCGTCGTGCTTTCAGTTCGTCTATATGTCTGGATCAACGCCCTCTCTGATGAAAGCAACATCATCTCCTAAGACTGACGTGCCAGAACGTCTCCGCAATCGAACTACAGGCGAGTGTTACAAGTTACTGACATTGCTGGCTTGGCGTGATCGCACCAAGCACAGCTCTCCTCAACGTTGTCTGCATGTGAATGAAGCGTTTGCGGAATTTCTTGAATTCGGTGTATTCTATACCCGATCAGAGTGGACGCGCTGCCCATCTTGCCACACGACGAAACATAGGGAAAGAAAAAAGAAAGACAGAAGAGCCGCACGCAACATTACGATTTGCGTCGACACAAAACAACGTGCGGCATAGAGAACACACACCCAGTCTCCAATACAATATCTACTTCTTATCCTGTTACCGCATCCAATTACCTTGGATGTCTCTAGAGTCGACATCCAGTCTTTCTGTTGCCGAGACCCATGTTCGTGAGTCCCTCATCCAGCCCTTCGTGTCCGTCACCAGCTGAAGTCTGTCCACCTGTGTTGTGCGACTGGTCGGCCTCGCCGTTGTTGTAGGCTCCCATATCGCTCGGTTTCCCAGCCACGCTACATCTTCGTTTTTCTAGAGTCATTCGAGCCATCTCTTGCTGTAGCAGGCCCATCAGTCGGCTGGATGTGGCTTCCATGACCCTGTTCAATACCTGAGGACAACATCTCGGGTTAGCGACTTGATAAAAAGCTTTCAGTTGCAATAAAGAGCCTTTTACTAGCCTCGCCAAAATTGGGATCGCAACCTGAGGATACCTGTTCGGCATCACTTTGATCACTTTGGTCCTGGCCGTGTGGAGAGTCCGTACCCCGCCTCAAGGAAGAACCTTCCCCTCGCTTGTCTCTGTTCATTGCGAGTAACTTCGTCAACCTCCCCTTGGAGGTCAGGTTAGGGGACCCTTCACTCAGTAAAAGAATCTGGGAAATCTGCCATCTCTCTGCTGAGTAGGACTCCTGACCCCGAAGCGCCGGTTGATATCCCGATAATTGAACGGGGACCTGCACCTGGGTGTGACGATCCAATACATCAGGGGCCACCTGAGATAGTTCAGTCTCTGATTTCCCGGGCTCCTCATTAGGAACACCCCAAGGCGGGAAGTTGGTAGACAGCAGCGATGGCACCGTCCAGTACTGGGTGCATTCCAACGAGTTATCCATCCCCATAGAATCGGGGATAGTCAAGTCTTCGTCTCCGCAGGGAGGAATTCCGCCGAAAGTGATATCTCCGACCCGCCTTCCGCTACCTGGATTTCGTTCAGGTCTTCGGTCGGGAAAGTTCGACGCCATTGTTACCTAACTCAGTCTGTTGTTAGCTCCAGTGTTGATTTCAATCATGGGATGGGAGGGCAATACTTATGTGAACTGGCTGGGCTAGGTGAGAATATTTTCCAAGGTGTGTGTTTGAGTATTTTGTCAACATTCAAGAAGAGATAGACACTTCGGCGAAACCGCAGTCAACGGATAAAACACTAACTATATATCTGATTGACACTAAAAAGTTGTTCGGCAGTATGTGCCCTTGCCTTCACCGAAAAACGTAGCCAGCTTCGTCATAGTCATCCGCTCCAATCAATGTCAGCATTCCATGCTCGAAGGCCGGGTGCATTGAGCCTGACATGTATCCTCAGCGGCATCCCCACCTTGCTTGGTACCACAAGGTACGGCAAACAGCTGAAGCCAACGGGTAATCGCTTCACCAATGGGATTTGGTTCCGATAGTTTGAGCGCTAGGCGTTAGTCCGGCGTGGTGAAGGCTCGAAGCCAAATTGAGCACTAATGCAAGGGTCCGCGTTGAGGAAGACTGTACCTGGATCTGCGCAACTCGTTCTGTTATACCCTGGTCAACTGGAAAGCCTCCCAAATCCCTATATGCTCACAATCATGTCTAGGAGTAGAAACTGGAAAGCGAGCGGACTTCCTGGATTACCACCGGCTTCAAGCTATCCCTATGCCACGGCGTAAAGCATGGATTCATGCCGCGTGTTTTCATGAGCTGAATGAACTCCTTGATGGTGGTTCGCAGGGTGGTTGAGAAAATGGAAGGAAAGCGCAGAGCCGCGTACTTCATGGCCATCTTCCCATGTCATGGAAACTGACATTCGCCCTTTTGAGTTGGGGTTGATTGGGGTCAACTGCTTCCCAAGACCCGCAATTCCTATTTCTATGGCTTTCGCTTCGAAAGTTCCTTCGTCAAATATAATTCAGGTGAACATCACCGACATCTCACCAGTCACCCTCTCTAGCTTTACCTTCTTCACCAACCACCAAAGTTCCTCGTCTCCAAGGCATTCAAGCCCATCCGCCTCTCTGCTATTAACAACAACACCCTCTCGCCCGCTCTACCGATCAACCCGAGCATACTCCCCGCGGGAACAACCAGTCTACCCTTCCCCTCGATTTTTCCCTCCTCCGAGACTCTTTTCCAGCTCGACAAGAACACATCCGCAGATATATTGAACCGCCTTTTCAAAACCGCCAGGGTGCGTCTACGCTCGAGAAGAAGCGCCCACCACCAACTCCATCACTCTTCACTGGAGGTGCCTTACCTACACTCTGCCTTTCAACCTTGGCACATATACTTTGGGTAAGGTACTGTATTAAGATATTCGTTGGAAGTCTGTGAGTGTCATGTACCTCGCTCCAAATTTCAGGAAATTCTGTCCTGACCTGCTTCAGAGACATCTCGTCATAGCACAACAGGCTCATCAGCCTGCAAGACCACTCAACATGAATCCGTATAATTATCATGGCACCGATGGCAGTCATAATCCAGAAAATGACCGGGACATCCACGACGGAATGGAGCCCCCAAATTCCACGCCCTCACGCCCGCCGGTGGCCTCGCATCTGACCCAGATGGCCCCGTGCCTAGCCTCGGCCACCCAGTCGCATCTGCCTTATGACCTTTACTATACCTCTGTCGGTCAACAGAATGGGTTGCACCACGGCTTCAACGGTCCAGGGCAGGCCCATGGCATGATTCATGCGGAGATGCCTCAGTCCCTATCCGCACAGCAGGCGCTGTGGAGGAACCACAACGCCCAGTGGGTCGGCCGATCTCAACAAGCCGCGACTCCCTTCCTCTCCATGGCTCCTTCTATACCCGCAAACGCCTATGCCCAGACCTCTATGCCGACCATGGGACCCATGACCGCCGCCATTGATAGCGGCAACCACCCGCAGCCTTTACAGCAGAGGGGCATGTCCCAGCCATGGTCTCGTGCTCAGGATGACTTGCTGCTGACTCTCAAGATGGAAGGCAAGACTCACGCCGACGTCTGTTCTGCCCTTCAGAGGAGGTTCGGTGTTTTGAGAACGCCCAACGTGGTGGCCAAGAGGCTCACCAAGTTGCACAATGAGGTCCTAAGTCGAGAAGTGAGTACCTGTATATATTTCGAAAAAGACAAAGAAAACAGACAAAAGCCGGTACCGGACAGATACAAGGCACAAGTCAGCGTCGCTAACCTGTCATGGATACTCAGGATGTGGGGAAATGCCTTGAGAACGTTCTGGAGACGGCCCTCTCTATGATCAACGACGAGTTCTCCAACCGGCTTGGCCGCCAGATCCTTCCAACCGCCGGAGACACGCAGAAGCTCAAGCGCACTATCACGGGGTTTTACCAGAGGCAGCTGGTGCTGGCGGAGAGAAGCGCTGGTGAGGCGGGTGGCTCGGAGATGGAGGCGAACGGCTTCGAAGTTGACTCAGTTGACTTTGATTGTGGCATCGGCTTCGGATTTTAGTGGCCCCTCATCGATGCAGTGAGAGGTGGTCGGCGGTGGACTGGAAGACACCCAGCGTGAACTAGGAATGACGGACATTGAATGACTAGACCGATATGGACTGGGATGGATTTGGAGGGAGCAGCCATTTAGGTGCCCCTAGATTTCATATGGCAGCGAAAAGGAGCTGACCGGAATGTTTGGGTCTTTGAACGCATTTGTCGCCCGGCCCCCTTTCTCTCCTTTTTTCTCCTTTCATTTGCTTGAGCGAGAAGGATAGATAGATGGTGACCATTTGGTAACCTACATCTAGGTAATAGAGCATGCAACAAAAGGCCAAAATGAGGTAGAGAGCAGCATTACTTCTGGGCATGGAGATGTAAACACTAGTGTTCGGGGAGGCCCTTCCGTAGAGGATGTAAGGCTGGTCCTGGGTTGCACCGTGTCTAACCTGAGGTGCAAATGGAGGTGCAATTGGAGGTGTAAGTGAAGGTGCAAATGGAAGTATAAATAGAAATATTAGTGGAAGTACAAATGGAAGTGTAAATGAAATGCAAATAGTATTCGGGGCGGCAGGCAAGCTGCCGCGGCCCTTCCATGGTGGAAATACCTTTTTTTTTTGTATGGTTGCTAATGAAGTAAAAGTTAAAATATCGGTATGAAGAATTATTTACATAGGCTTTATGAGTAGAAACGTGCGTGCGATAACAATCAGTTATGCCTTCGTTATCCGCAAAGAAGTGCAGACACTCCTCCGCCTCGCCCCCACCGATA